GATGGTATGTATAAAACCCTGAAAGAGAAAAATTTTCAACCAAGAATTATATACCCAGCAAAACTGTCCCTCAAATATGATGGTGAAATTAGAACATTTCCAGATAAGCAAACATTAAGGGAATTTTTTAAAACCAGACCAACCTTACAAGAGACACTAAAGGGAGTCCTTTGAACAGAGAAGCAATAATAGCAAATAACAACCAACCACTAATACACAAGATGACATAACCTAGAAACCACAGCAATAGACATATCCAAAGTAAAATGACTTTACAAGTTTGTAAACAGGGAACCAGAGACATCAATTGGCAAGTCAGGACAACTACAAACAAAAAGAGGGAAAAGACTGTGAGGAAGTTAAGGGAGCTGTAAGATAAAATGGACTGTTCTAAACTTGGGTAGAAAATTATAAATCATAGGGTAACCTCAAAGAAAAATGATAAACATTCACATCACAGTAAAAAAGAGGACAAGCACAAATATTCAGCATATACTAAAACAACAGCAGCAAAGAAAGTGATAACAGGGATCATAAAAATAACGAGCTCAGCAAAGAAAATAATATGGAACAAAGAAACCAGGGACAACATGAAAAAACACATACCAAAATGACAGAAACCAATGCATACTTGTCAATAATTACACTGAATGTTAATGGACTAACTGCACAACTCAAGAGATGGAGAGTTGCAGATTGGATAAGAAAACAAAACCTATCAATATGCTGCCTACAAGAGACACACCTTAAAGATAAAGACCAAAATAGACTAAAAATCAAAGGTTGGAAAAAGATCTATCAAACAAATGGCAACCATAAGAGAGAAGGAGTGGCAATATAATTTCTGATCAAATTGATTTAAGACAAAAACCACCATACATGACAAAGAAGGACATTATATAATGATTAAAGGATCAATTGAACATGAAGATGTAACCATAATAAATATCTATGGACCCAATGAAAAAGCCCCAAAATACATGAATCAGACTTTAAAAGAGTTGAAAAGCCAAATAGATGACCCCACAGTCATAGTGCAAGATTTTAATACACCACTTTCTTTGAAAGATAGAACAACTGGAAAGAAACTCAAAGATGCAGAAAAGCTAAATAATACACTTAACCAACTTGGTTTTATAGACAACTACAGAGCACTTCACCCAACAGCAGCACAATATACATTCTTCTCCAGTGAACATGGAATATTTTCTATGATAGACCATAAGTTAGGTCATAAAGCAGGCCTTAATAAATTGAAAAACACTGAAATACTGAAAAGCATCTTCTCAGAGCATAATGCCATCAAATTAGAAATCAAAAATAGAAAGATCAAGAGAGAAAGAATAAACACATGGAAACTGAACAGTATCCTTCTTGAGAAAGACCGGGTAAGAGAAGAAATCAAAATTGAAATTCAAAAATTCCTTGAATCAAATGAGAATGAAAACACAACATACCAAAATCTTTAGGACACAGCAAAAGCAGTGATCAGAGGCCAATTTATAGCAATAAATGCACACATCAAACAAGAAGAAAGAGGCAAAATCAACACTTTAAACCAACATCTCCAACAATTAGAGAAAGAACAGCAAGCAAAGCCCACAGTCACCAGAAGAAAGGAAATAATAATGATTCAAGCAGAAATCAATGAAACAGAAAAAAGGAAGGAAATAGAAAAAATCAACAGGACCAGAAGTTGGTTTTTTGAAAAGATCAATAAAATTGACAAACCCCTGGCAAATTTAACAATGGAAAAGAGGGACAGAATACAAATAACAGGAATAAGAAATGAAATGGATGAAATCACAACAGGACCAACTAAAATCAAAGGGATAATATCAGGATACTATGAGGAACTATACTCCAACAAATTTGAAAATCTGGAAGAAATGGACAGATTTCTAGAAACACACCATTTACCTAAATTAACACAGACTGATGTGGAAAGGTTGAACAGGTCCATCACAAAAGAAGAAATTGAACAGGCCATCAAAAAATTGCCAACTAAAAAAAGTCCGGCCCAGGTGGTTTCACCAGAGAATTCTACAAAACATTCAGAGAAGAACTGACACCAATCCTACTCAAAGTATTCCAAAACACAGAAAATGATGGAATCCTACCTAACTCATTTTATGAAGCAAGCATAACCTTGATACCCAAACCAGGAAAAGACATCACACAAAAGGAAAACTACAGACCAATATCCCTCATGA